ACAGAATATAATGACATGAATTAAACAAACATAATAATGACATGAATTAAACAGAATATAATAATGACATGAATTAAACAAACATAATAATGACATGAATTAAACAGAATATAGTAATGATACGAATTAAACAGAACATAATAATGACATGAATTAAACAGAACATAATAATGACATGAATTAAACAGAATATAATGACATGAATTAAACAGAATATAATGACATGAATTAAACAAACATAATAATGACATGAATTAAACAGAACATAATAATGATATGTATTAAACAGAACATAATGATAAGTATTAAACAGAACATAATGACATGAATTAAAGAGAACATAATAATGATATGAATTAAACTGAACATAATAATGATATGAATTAAACTGAACATAATAATAATATGTATTAAACAGAACATAATAATGACATGCATTAAAGAGAACATAATTATGATATGAATTAAACAGAATATAATAATGACATGAATTAAACAGAACATAATGATAAATGGAAACAAAATTTTATTGAAGTTTTGATCAGTATCAAACAGAATAACAATATATAAAATAAGGCTAACTTTGCCTCTCTCCAGGTCAATGCAAACTATGAGTATGGACAACAATACAGATCAGTGGTGTGTGTGTGTGTACATGTGCAGCGCTCAGGCATTGTAACGTGTGAGGGTTCCAATGCAAGTTTAGTCATACTACAGGCTGTACTTGGCGAGCAGGCAAGTGTACAAAAATCCCATCTCATAAACAATCACCAATTTAATATTGAAGGATAGGAGGGCTATCATCAAGACAGAGAAAATCATCTCTAACCATTGTCAAAAACCATCTGTTATAGTCCATGGAGGAGACAGAGCACACTATAGTGATACTGATCTTAAATAACCAAAATATTTGTACTGTATATAACATCCACTCTCTGCCAGAAACACCAATCCAACTACAGAAGAGAAAGTTAAATAACAACAAATGAATCATTCTGGGTGACTTCAACAGCTACTCACCAAGTTGAGGTTATGATGAACTTGATAAAAAGGAGATGGGGTAGAAAGCTGGATTATTAGTAAAAATATTGTGTTGATCAACAACCCAGATGGTCTCCACATGCACTTTCAAGATTCTGGCGAGCCACAAGCACTGCAAATCTTGCTATTGCTACAGATGACTTACAGAACATCAGTAAAAGAGATCTGCCAACAGTTCGTTAGCAATGACCAAAGGTTGATAATTATTCATGTCAATAACAAGTGAATAACACCACCAGGATGAAGTTAGAATTACAAAAAAGGCAAATGGGATCTTTTCCAATGACTGGTTGAAGTGTAAGAAGACTCTCTTTTCTAAAATTAGCATGAAAAAAAATGCAAAGATTTTCTATAAGGCTATTCTAGATGCAGCTAAGAAATCCATTCCAAGAGCTCTCAACCAGAAAATCTACAACAAGTTTGTGATGCCCAAGAGATGGTGAAGAATCCCACGGACTCAAACATCATTGCTTACAATAAAGCGAGAACTGAATTTAAAAGAGCTAAAGTTGAACAATAGGTGGTATGAAATGACACACACACACCGAACTTTGAGAAAGGCATGCATAGCCTCTGGAAGTTAACTAAATGTCTTAATGGAAAACAACTAACTAAATGCAGAACAGTTCTGGATATCAGTGGAGAGCTTTAGACAGGAAGCAAGCAACTAAAACCTTTGCCAAAATCTACCAGAAGCAAATTACTGTAGAGATGTCAAGAGAAAGAGTCTGTAAAGTAAGAGAGGACATCAAACACAAGCTGAACACCAACACACTTGAGGATTATAAGAGAGAAGCTGACACTGCCTTGAAGAGACTGAAACTCAAGAAGACACCTAGGTCTGAAGAAGTTAGCAACAACATGCTCAGCCACCTTGTTCCTATTGCAAAGTGTATTCTGCTCATCATCTTCAATGACAGCTGGAAGTCAGGCAGAGTACCAACTATTCAGAAAGAATCTTGGATCATCTCCATTCTGAAAAAGGGAAATATCAAATTAGATCCAATCAGTTATAGGCCCACCTGTCTGATAAACTGTGTTTGGAACACTGAGCCTATGGAAAATAAAAGAAATATGAAGATCCTGATTCAGAGTGAAAAGATAAGACACTTCCCAAATCAGCCACTTCATTGTAAGTTCCAAGAAAGAACAAAAAATATACTAAAACATCAGAGTCTCAACAATTTAGCTAAGATGCATCTGCCAAGGATGTCCTACAGTTGCACAATAATCTATGCAAGATTCTGGCACCACAGAAAAGGACAAAGAAAGAGCACAGCTTTGAAATCTGATTAACTGTATCAGATGTTGCAAGTAAATGTAACTAAATTCCTGTAGCATAAAATGCTCAACAGGAATTGTTTGACCATGAGTATCCCAATGAATGATAGCTGGACTTACACATACAGATGTGTCTGCCATTAATACCATGAAAAATGGAGGAAGTGGAGTCTACATCAGATATAAAAATGACCAGAAAATTTTCCTGTTCATTTCTGGAGAACAGCCATGCAGTAACTCCAAAGGTGAAGTGACAGCTGTTGCTGCCTCAGTTGACTACCTCCTGACATCTGAGAAGAGTTTAAGAAATGTTATTCTGACAGATTCTATGTCCACTCTGCAAGCTTTGATATCCAAGATCACAGGTGCAGCCATAAGAGATTTACAATACAGCCTTCAAAAGGTCTTATAGGACTTCAGAACTGTCTTGCAGTGGATTCTGGCCTATTTCAATGTCCTGAGCAATGAGAAAACAAAGATGGGAGCCTGAAATGCCAACTTCAAGTCACCATTTCCTCTGGTGAAGCAAAAACCTTACTGAAGCAGAGATTCAAAAAATACTGGTGCTGTAGCTAAGGAGGCTTCAAACCACAACAACATTCACTCAGATTCTTGGACAATCATCTACTGCTTAAGAATCAGTCACTGTGGTCTCTATTCTGATCATCTGAAAAAAATCAACCTTGCAGACACAGCTGTGTGTGTTTGCACACAGACAGACTGCATCCTAGCAAATACTTCAAGATTGCGCTATTTACACAGCCCACAGACTTCGAGCCTGGCCAAAGGGAGCAGACATATGTACATACATGTAAGCTGTGGAGATTGGCATCAGACCTTAGACCTTAACCTGACTGCCCAGTTCATGACCTCCATCAGACTGACGACCTGGCAGCCAGTCAAACACGAAATAAAAAGTCTAACTTGGGTTCCATGAAAGTAAAATCTGTGCACGAGGCATCTTTAAACTTTAGCCTAACTTGGATTCCATGAACTTAAAAGCTGTGCTTCAGGTATCTTTAAATATTATCCTAAATGAAATTTCTTGTAATGAATATCTGTGTTTTAGAACTTTTAGGACTGGCATTACCAAAATGTTGATCAAACTAATCTTCTGTGGAACTGATTGTTTATTTAATAATCTTTATATTCTATCATACAAAGATTACTCTGAGTTATTTCTCATCAGCGAGTGGTTATTCATCAGAAACCTCTGGACATCACAAAGTGGAGAGAACATAAATGCAAAATATTATCATCATTAAACTCTTGCTCTAACTAAAAGTAAAATACAGTTACAAATCAAGAAATACATAAATGTTACACAGTAATAAGCAGATGACTTTTATGTCATCTAGCTTTAATTCTGAGAGAGATAACTCAGTGCCTCTTTAAGTTCCCTTAGATCAAATATACTTCTTATTTTCAACAGACTGAATAGCAAAAATTATTACAACATCTTAAAGGTAATTCTTAAGACTTCCCAACTTCTTCTTAATAAGCTCAGAATTAATGTGACCATCTTGTTCCCATCTAACAACTGTTCAAGATGAGAAAGTGCTTAAATCTTCATTAGTAAAAGCTAAAGAAAATGTAGAATTTAGTAACTGAGCCATCTGATAATCATCAGAAACAATCAATCTTTCGATAAACATCCCTCAAAGTCAAAGGTCCTACTCCCATCCTAACATTTTGTTTACCATTAATGTATTTGAAGAAATCCTTACTGTTAATTGTTACATTTTCAGCCAGCCCTTTTTTTCATATTCCTTTATTTTATTGTCTAATTTCCTGTTTCGCTAACACTCTTGATCTTACATAATCCTCCCATCTAGAAGTCGATGGGTTAATACTAACTTATATAATAATAATAGTAATACAGTGTAATTTATAAGTTACTTGTATGGGCTGACCGTCTTTTGAAATTTCGCTGCTTAATACACAAATGTCACTTTTAATTTATTAAAATGATTATAACAACTTACATCAAATTAGGCCTTACATATATGATATTGTATGAGAAAGATATACTGACATTACTGTACGTTGATACAATACACAATAATACGTAGTGTTAAAAAATCATAAAATGTCTTCATGAAAATAACATCTGACATTGACAAGTAAAATGTTGACACGCAGGATAGATACCTGTCCGGATTCCTGTTCTGTCCTCGTTACTAACGTTAGTATGTTACTCTGTAACATGTTATTTTAAACATTTTTATCGGTACCACCAAATGTTGGTGATGATAGAACATAAATAAATAGTCCACATACCTATTTCTCTTTCACACCTGAGATAACCGAAATATGTAATTCACTAATAAAAATACACACAAAATTAATTTATATTAATATAAAACATAGAACTTTGCGGTTTATACCATATCTACCTCACTACTAATATACACAAAACTTGTACCAATTCTTGACCTGTAAGTACAACAAGTCTTCTATGAAAACCAAAATATATTCTGAAACTGATAAGTGAATTCTTGCAATATCTTGGGGAGGTAACCAAACAGAAAATAACATCTTAAGTTCAGATTTTTCTAGAAACCTCTTAGAGAAACAATATTAAAGTAGAGTGAAATATATAAAAAATATTATTACTTTTATTAAAGCATTACTAGTTTGTCATAACTTTCAAGCAACTTACAAATAGTATGTTAAAAAATTATTAGAAAAAGTATATACAATATAATGAAATTTGAAAGTTCGAAAGTACTAATAATATTGCCTCCATCCCAGTGGCACAGCGGTATGTCTACAAATTTACAACGCTAGAAACCGGGTTTAGATACCCGTGGTGGGCAGAACACAGATAGCCCATTGTGTAGCTTTGTCCTTAACGTCAGAAAACAAACAAACAACTAATAATATTAAACAATAAAATAAATATTTTCACAACTTAAAAGCTATTCGTATTGCTACGACAGCGGAAGTCACGCGACGCTGGGAGTATGCGCGCTGGAGTTTCTCGAAGGATCATCAATTTTCCTGACAACTCTAGTTTGTTCGAGGCGCCCTCTTTTTTAGTATTGTTACGACATCGGAAGTCACGTGATTCTGGTGACACGTAATGAGTATCTAGAAGTTCCTGAAGGCTCGAGGTGCCCTCTATTTTTTATATATAAGACTGGCAAATAAAGCGGGTGAAGAATATAGTTGCAGATAGAGAGATTGAAGATATTGACAAGAATAATCGAGTCAAGTGGGCACCGTAAGTAAAGTGCGTGAATCGTTGTGAATTATAGCGTGTGTTAAGTTAAAGTGACTGTGGAAATTAAGTGTATTGCAAAGTTGAATTGAAAAAGAATAAACTAGTTTTATTTAAGAAAGGACTTGCATCGCTGAAGTTTTTCTGAAAGAATTTCTACGGAAAATTAACAAACGAACACAGATGTAACAAATTGGTGTCAGAGAGTGGGACGAAACAATAAAGAAAAGAAAATGGAAAAGAGAGGTGGCAAATCAATCTATAGCTTAGCAGATTTGATGGCAGCAATACAAGAACAGCAAAAGAAACGAGAAGAGAAATTACAGCAGAGGTTGGAGGAAAAAGAAAAGAAACAAGAAGAACGAGAAAAGAAACAAGAAGAGAGATTAGAGCAGTGGCAACTGGAACAAGAAAGGAAACAGGAAGAAAGTCTCCAACAGTTGCAGGAAAGTCAGCAGCAACTAAAGGAAAGTCAACAACAATGGTAAGAAGCACAAATGGAAACCATTAGTAAATTTCAAAGCGAATTAAATACATAAAAGGATGATTTATTGTCTTTTACACAAGGAGGATATATTAGCCATGGACCTAATCAGCCTCAGGCAACAGGAAGCCCCTTACAGACCCCGCAGCTAAACCCTAATGCAGACATCTTCAGTCCTGTTAGAAGTCACATCCC